GGTCCTTAAAAGTGGAAGGAGACAGAAGAGAGTTAGAAAAAGATGTGATGAGCGAAGCAGGGTCAGGGTGATGCAATGTGAGACTTGACTCATCTGCTGCCTTTGGAGTTGGCGGAAGGGGCCACGTATGAGTCCCCTCAGGCTGCCATGACAGAATACCATAGACTGACCAGGAATTTCCTTTCTTACAGTTCTGGAAGCTGGAAGTCTCTGCTTCAGGTACCAAACAGTGAGAGGCTAGAGAAAGAAGAGAAGCAATAAGGACTCCTGCCGTGCTCTTGGGACCACAGTCCCTCCGGGCAGGAAGAAGAGTTCTGTCCTAAGGATTTCAGGTGCCTGCCCAGCCACCATTGCTGATGGCGTCGCTCTCCCCACAGTACTGCCTGGGGATCTGGGCAGGAGATAATAGGAAAACATCAGGGAATGTACTTCACTCTTTCTGATACACAGGAGCCCCATTTCTCTTTCCAGACCAAAAAAGAAAAGGGAACATCTGCTGGAGATCTTTCTGTCTTTCTGCCTGACCCCAGTGTGTGGGTTTCGGTTTCAGCCTTCCCTTCAGTCAAAGCCAACAGATACTGGGGGAGGGAGAGGAGGAGAGACAGAAATTCACCCTGAGTTTAGTGATAGCTTGCCAGGTAGTTTCCTTCCCGGGTCTGCTTGCTATCTTATTTTTCAGAGTCCTCAGATAGATGCTCCACACATTCTGTCTAGAGGATTTATTAATGCATTCATTCATTTTCTTTTAATTCCAGTAAACAGTGTAATATTACCTTCAGGTGTACAATATAGTGATTCAACACTTCCATACACACAAGGATACATACAAGGACCAGCGCTCATCGTGACAAGTGCCCTCCTTAATCCCCATCACCTATTTCACTCAACCCCCCAGTTAAGAATCTGTTTCTTGATTTCCCTCTCTCACTCTCATTTTCCTTTGCTTGTATGTTTTGTTTCTTAAATTTCACCTGAGTGAAATCATATCGTATTTGTCTTTCTCTGACTTATTTCACTTAGCATAATACCCTCTAGCTCCACCCATGTTGTTGCAAATGGCAAGAATTCATTCTTTTTATGGCTGAGTAATACTCCATTATATATATATATATATATATATATATATCACATCTTCTTTAAGCATTCATCGGGCCAGGACACTTGGGCTGCTTAGAGTTTTTAATTGCATTCTGTGGGAGAAACGGGATGGCACGTGCTTACTTCATGTTGATCAAAACTGGAATCTGTATCCTGGTTTTTGCCTTCTTCCTAATTAGAATGTGCTCCCTTTCAATACCCCTTTGTTGGCATTTCCTATTTGATGGGTTTTAAATATTAGTGTTTCTCTAGTTTCATCTCAAGCAGTTTTCTCACTCTATACTCTCTCCCTAAGTCCATGTTAACCATGTTCATCACTTAATTACATATGTGCAAATATGTCACAAATTTCCATCTCCAGGCTGATCTTTCTCATTAATTAAAACCTGCATATCCTGGGGCGCCTGGGTGGCTCAGTCGGTTAAGAGGCTGCCTTTGGCTCAGGTCATGATCCCAGGGTCCTGGGATCGAGCCCCACATCGGGCTCCTTGCTCAACAGGGAGTCTACTTCTCCCCTGCCTGCCATTCCCCCTGCTTGTGCTTGCTCTCTGGCTCTGTGTCAAATAAATAAATAAAAATCAAAAAAAAAAAAAAAAACAACCCTGCATATCCAACTGATCCTCGATATTTCTACTTATAGATCTCAAACTCATGACAAATTCAACATGTCTAAAACACAACTCATGATTTACCTTTCAACTCCACCATCAGCCTTTTTTGACACCCAGAAGTCACCACTGACATCTTCAGGAATGATCAAGTACCTCACTGAGTTACCATCAGAAGTTTATTATATGCATATTTTTATTCAACAGATGCTCACTGAGCACTCAGTCCTTCACAAAAATCTGCACCAAATGTCTTCTCTGTGCAGGACTTGTGCTAATGCCTAGGTATACGATGGCTAATGAAATTGATATAGCCCTTGCCTCCATGAGCCTGCACACTAGTGCAACTGGTATGAAACAGGCCAACCCACAAATTATTATCAAGTTACAAATTATGATAAGTGTTCCTAATAAAAGCAGCAGCAAGACAGAGCATAACACTTCCATGAAACTAGAAGGATTTGTGTATTCCTAGAGCAAAGGATGTAAATGGTGGGTAACCAGATTAAGAAAGTCCTTGAATGTCATTTTAAGGACTTCAAGTTTTCAAGTCACTGAGGGATTTAGGCAGGGAAGTAACATGATCAGATTTTTCTACAGCATAGATCTGGGTTATGTAATCAATCGTTCACCAATTGGCTCTCTGTCAGATGTCGTTTTTCCCTTCTCTGTCAAATATATCCCTTTTTTTAACAATACCTGAAAAGGATCCCTTACCCAGACTCTAAAAGTTACGACTGCAGTTAGTAATGGTGGAGATGGAATCTAATCCAAATGAAGGAATGCACCATTTACCAACACTTAACTTTAGTATTGCCTATAATATATAAAACACATTTATATTTATATTCACTTGTTTTCCATAGCAACTTTATGTACCATGTGGCTGTAACTACTTTAACTCCTAATCTCTTAGGTACCAACTGCTACAGAGAGATCTGCCCGGGTCCCATCATGAGTCCTTTTCTGACACCTGGGTCATTTCTAATCTGTTTCAGTGTCCCATTTTGATCCATACCCCATTCTGAAGTTCGTTTCCATGCAAATTTGCTCAGTTCCTTGTGTCAAAGTTGATGACTAATTACAGAAGCCACTCAATTTCTGTGTCTTTAAGTTCTCATAATTCATTCTTTGGAGTAAAGATTTCAGATATGTCTATAACTCTGGTTATTCCTGTTTATATTCAGTAGCACAGATATTACCGCGAATTCTGGGAGGCGGATAATTCGTTCTACTCGAACATAAAAGCCAGCTCTATTGTAATAAAAGCCTCCTACAGAATGCCACTTGACAATGACTCTGAAATTACCAGGAAATGCATGTGGTATCTGGTTGTGAAGGTTGAGGTATCCAAACAGAAAAAAACAATTACTTCTGGGATGAAATCTTCGTGGTCAGCTCACCTCTACTGCCCCAAAGCCAACTACTCAGGGCTTGCTTTCATCCTCCACTATCAAACATCTCTTGGCAACAATACCTGGCATCAAATTTGTCCCCTTGCAGCATCACCAGAATTTTTTTTTTAGAGAGGGGGGCAGGGGGAGAAGGAGAGAAAGAATCTTAAGCAGGCTCCATGCCCAGTGCAGAACCCAATGTGGGGCTCAATCCTACAACCCTGAGAAATCTTGGCTGAAATTAAGAGTCAGACGCTTAACCCACTGAGCCACCCAGGCGCCCCAGCATCACCAGAATTTTGCTGAGTGATAATTTAAAGTGTCTCTTTATGTGGGTTACACATCCCTAAACATGTAACGGAAGCCTCAGATCTAAGGGGATGGCCTATGAGTGAAATCATCCAGAACTCAATATCCAATACTAAAACTCTTTAGATCTTTCATATGTTGAAATTTGTCAAGTGCGTTAACCTTCCTCCACTCAAAACCCTCTCCCCTTCCCTACCCTGGACATGGAAGTAGACAAATGAGAAGGCACACACAGAGGCACAAACAATGGAAGGAAAAACAAAATTAAAAGGCAACAGGGGAGAAATGAGAACGAATCCTACTTTTATTTTGGAATGGTAGATTTTTTGCCAGAAACAATGCCTCCCAAAGTATGGTCATCTCAAAATCTGTACCAGAATTTCTCAGGGATTTTTTTTTTTAAGATTTTATTTATTTATTTGACAGAGAGAGACAGTGAGAGAGGGAACACGAGCAGGGAGAGTGGGAGAGGGAGAAGCAGGCTTCCCGCTGAGCAGGGAGCCCGACGTGGGGCTCGATCCCAGGACCTGAGCTGAAGGCAGACACTTAACGACTGAGCCACCCAGGCGCCCCTTCAGGGATCTATTTTTAAATGCAGGCTATCAGGACCCCACTGCAGAGCTACTGAATCAGAATATCTGTGAGCAGAGAAGCCTAGAGTCCACATTTCTAACAAGCAAAATTTTTATACAAATAAAAGTTTTACAACAGCTAATACAAACATGGTCTCGGCAATCGTTGGCTATTTATATAAAGCAAGAAACCTCATTGCCCTAAGGTGTCCCTGCATCATCTTCACAGGTGGTACTTACTTCTCAAGGGGATTAGGGTAAAGCTGGTAAATGTATTAGTTTACCGAATGGCTGCTGTAAACGTGAAGGGATGCTCTTGCAGGTTTCCTGGCCCTCGTGAAGTCAGTCACCCAATAAGGAGAAAAGGCTGACACACACAAAGCCTTCGTGTGGGGCCAAGAAACGGATACAATTTACACTGGTATCTATGCGCTGAGAAAAGCAGAGATGGCAGGCGAGCAAATCACACAGGTGATGGAGGCTTTAGTCAGACAGTCAGGAGCTTTCACCAGGACTTTTGAATGAGGAAGGGCGATGACGGTGCCACCACAGCAGTGGAAGAACACACTCAGCAAGACGAGGAGAAATGTCGCAGTTCAAGCTCTGCAACTGTGTGATGTTGAGCGAGTCTTTTAATTTTTCTCTAATTTTCTCATTTGCATAATCAAGGCCAATCTCTATTATTTGTTTCTTTGTATCTTTATGCACCCACCTCATTCTAGAAAGGCTCTAAGGCAGAGAGCCTTTTTTCTGGCGCCAACATTCACTGGCTGAATTCATCCAGGTTTGCTGCAGGGGCAAATGTGTGGGGATGCTACAGACCAAGACTTCTCCAACCATGAAACACAGCGGACAGAAAATACTACCAAATGCCAGCTGGAACCTCCTATTGCCCACAGGCAATCACTTCAGTGTACACATATGTCATGGCTGTGAAACTATAGGGTGAGGGGTGGAATCAGCGTTCTAAGGGTAAGCAGCATTTCTGTGGTGAATTCTGCCAGGAGCGCACCCCTGAGTCAGAGACGTTCATGTGCTTGATACAATGGTATCTGGCCCAGTACTTTTCTCATGGCATCTTTGACTTCTTTGTTTCTTAACCTGTAAATGATGGGGTTCAACATAGGGGTCAGCACTCCACAGAGCAGTGAGATGATCTTATCTACTTCTTGTGAGGTCGATGAAGAAGGCTTTAGGTACATAGAGAGGGCAGCCCCGTAATACAAGATCACCACAGTCAAGTGGGCACCAGAGGTAGAAAAAGCTTGGTTTCTTCCCTCTGCCGAGCTGATTCTCAGAACGGTGGAAAGGATGAAGACATAAGAGATGCAAATTAAGAGCACGGGGATGGGCAGGAGAAGCACGCTGACCACCAGCATGATCACGTCCATGAGCAGTGAATCTGTGCGCGCTAACTGCAGCACGGCCAGGATTTCGCACGTGAAGTGATCGATGAGATTCCCACAGAGGGGTACCCGCAGGGCGAAACTGGTTTCCAGCAGGGCACTCAGACAACTCGTCACCCAAGAGGCAGTGGCCATGTGCACGCAGACCTGCCTGTTCAGGAGGATGGGGTACCTCAGGGGGTTGCAGATGGCCACGTAACGGTCGTACACCATCATGGCCAGGAGCATGCACTCTGTGGAGCCCATGGAAAGGGACAGATACATCTGTACAGCACACCCAGAAAAGGTAATGGTTTTCTGGGATGACAGTAAGTTCACCAGCAAAGTGGGAACAGAAGCAGATGTATAACAAATATCCACGAGAGAGAGATTTCCAAGGAACAAGTACATGGAGGCTTGGAGGCATGAATCTAGGATAATGACCAAGATCAGAGAGATGCTGCCCAAGAGCGTTATCAGGTACGTCACAAGGCTGAAGACGAAGAGAACAATATCTAATGTTGGGTATCTAGAAAAACCCTCCAGGAGAAAAAGGCTCCAAATGGTGAGGTTTCCTCCTTGCATTTCCTTTTTTTGCACCTGTAGTTATTCTAATAGTGTTCTCTTCATTTCATCTGAGGACATAAAGAGGTGGATCAAGCAGTATGTTCATTTAGTTAGGAAAACACTTTCGAACTTATTTTCACTATTATAAATACAATTTTACCACAAGAAATCACAGGACTTACCTATTGATCTAAAGGGGGAGAAAACAGGTTGGATCTACATAAAAAATTGATACTTCCACAGGAAAATTTAGAAGAGAGTGCATTTGAAAACAAGAATAAACATATTTAATACCTGAATCTCAGCCTGTTTTCCTATGCTTGGCATGCAGTAGTTTTTCAGTAAAGATCTGAAAGTACTGTGCAACAAAAAAATAGGAATGAACACTCAATAAACTGAGCACAGATTAGAAAAGTAAGCCAGATAAGTGAAGTAAAGAAAGCAGGTTTGTACAATAAAAACCAGTGATGATCTTCACTGGAAGAAGAGGAGGGATACTGAAACAAATAAATGAATTTTTTTTACTTTAAATTTTTTATTGTTATGTTAATCACCATACATTACATCATTAGTTTTTGATGTAGTGTTCCATGATTCATTGTTTGTGCGTAACACCCAGTGCTCCACGCAGAATGTGCCCTCTTTAATACCCAACACCAGGCTAACCCATCCCCCACCCTCCCAAATAAATGAATTTGTTCTGGGTCTATGAAGTTCTTGGCCTAAATGAACTCTTTCCTTTCCGGCAAATAGCTTGGAGGTCCATACACTTGTCTCTAAAATGATGACATTGTTTAAAGCATTGTAGGTACCCATTCTGATTATACTGAAGAACCAGTTTACAAGTCACGCAAAATAAGCCACCTTATTTAAACACCGACACCCCCACAGCTCAGTCTTGTTCACTGTTGAGACCCATACCTTCGTGAGTACGTAAATCATGCTAAATATTATTCCCAGGCAATACTCTTCTTCTACATTAAAACCCATGAAGATCTCGAATATGCAGAAATTAAACTCCCTTTTTAAGCTACCTTAAAATCTCTTGGGAAAGAAGATTATGGATCATCTAATCATAAACAAGGCGCTGAATGTTTTGGTTTTTTACATTTCACATGAACAGAAAGAAAAGACAAAGGCGTACCTTACTTCTGCACTGATACTGCTCTTTATCACCTTCAATCGTTTCCTTTCCCTACTAGTTCTTTCCTTTCTATTTTTAAGATATCCTTGTTCTGAAACATTCCCCGCGTCGTCATGGTCCCCGTGCACATCCTACCTTGGCTCTTTCTCTCACAGGCAAATTCCTCCGTGATATGGTTTACTTACAATGTTTCACTCTTCACTTTCTCATCCCTGGTGTTCCTTCTTTCTTGGTTTCTCTTTGAGCCAGCGTTTTCATTTGCCTCCCAGTTCCCCATATTACAAAAGCCGGCACACAGGGTGATGGTGTAATCACGTTGGGGGCAATAGCTTCTATCATGCCCCTAGAGCAGCAGAGGATTTATCCAATGAGTTTTCATTATATTACGTTATTCTCTGTGACTTCTGCTCCATTGTATCTCATTCCTAAGCCTATTAGCAAGCCCTTCCGCTGTTTCCTGTTTTACTCCTCAGTCCCCAAGCAGCTTGCATTGGAGGTCCAGACATTATCTGCTCCCGCTCAGGACACTGTTGGTGTTCTAGGGAATGCCTATCAGTAGGACTCTCCTCTGCGGTCCTCGAGCATGCAGAGTTCGTGCTTCTCCTCCTAAAAGCTCCATTTTTCCTACATCACAGTAGGGAGTTCTTACTCATTTGTTGGTTAACAGATTATTTCTTAGGGATTTCTCTGCTAGATTTTATATTTAACAAATTCTGTACAAAAAATTTATTATATTATTATAAGATTATTTTAAAGAAACTAAGTGTGTGTGTGTCACTCTTAAGACAAGCAAAAAAGACACAATGTTTTTTTTAGAATGAAAAATCAGCCCAGTTGTGGAGACTTGGTATTTTCCTACTGTTTAAAAATAATAGCCAGGAGGGGCTCAGTTAGTGGAGGATGAGACTCTTGATCTCAGGGTTTGAGCTTGAGCCCCACGCTGGGTGTGGACATTACTTTAAAAAAAAAAAAAAATCTTAAAAAAAAAATAGTAGCCAGGAAAAATTTGTCCTCCCATCTGAATTCCCTATCACGAACTCCAAATAAAATATTGTTTAGCTATGTGCAAGAAAGAATGAATGTATCCATACTTAAAATGTTAAACGTATTATATAAAAATCAACACTGCAATTCATTTCTTTCAAAAGTATTGACTGTCACCTCCATGACTAAACGTGCCAAAGGACAGCAACAGACATACTACATAAATTTAAATTATCTGTTGTTTGGGGGGAATACCTGTTGTCCCTGAGCAATTTAAAGTTCAGCAGCTATAATATACAGAGGTTTGAAACTTTAGATCCTTAAGGGATAATGTCCCAATGATCCAATTATACCAAACTTTTAAAAATTGAGACACCATGAGCCAGTTCTCCCAAAATGTTTCAAAGAACTCATAAAAACAAAGTCTTCTATTCCCACACACAATGGAATATTACTCAGCCATCAAGAAAATGAAATCTTGCCATTTGCAACAACGTGGATGGAACTACAGGGTATTATGCTAAGCGAAATAAGTCAATCAGAGAAAGACAATTATCATACGATCTCACTCATATGTGGAATTTAAGAAACAAAACAGAGGATCAATAGGAGAGAAAAAAATAAAACAAGACATAACCAGAGAGGGAGACAAACCATAAGAGACTCTTAATCACAGGAAACAAAGTGAGGGCTGCTGGAGGGGAGGGGGTAGTGGGATGGGGTAACTGGGTGATGGACATTAAGGAGGGCATGTGACGTAATGAGCCCTGGGTGTTATATAAGACTGATGAATCACTGACTTCTACCTCTGAAACCAATAATACATTATATGTTAATTGAATTTAAATTTTAAAAATTTTTTTTAGAAAAAGACTTTTTTTCTTGAATGATTACAGTGTAGAATATTTAACAGTCTACAGAGAAAAGATATCCCTAGAACTCTAAGATACACATTTTTTCATTTGTGGAATTACTCCCTAGTTTTCAGAGTTTACAGGAAGAAAGTTTACTGTATAAAGCACTTGTCCTAAACAACTTATCAGAAATTTTACTCAAAACACACATATTGAGGAGGGCCTTAAAGCGATGAACCCTCAGCAGCAATGGACACACCTAGCACCCAGATCTTGGTTTCTAAATACAATTCTCACCTAAATGTAGGTAATGTAGGTAAATGTAAATACGTTTAACATTTTAAGTATGGATACATTCATTCTTTCTTGCACATAGCTAAACAATATTTCATTTGGAGTTGGTGACAGGGAATTCAGATGGGAGGACAAATTTTTCCTGGCTACTATTTTTTTTTTTTTTGGATTTTTTTTTTTTTTAAGTAATGTCCACATCCAGCGTGGGGCTCGAGCTCAAACCCTGAGATCAAGAGTCTCATCCTCCACTAACTGAGCCCCTCCTGGCTATTATTTTTATTTTTTTTAAAGATTTTATTTATTTATTTGAGAGAGAGAATGAGATAGAGAGAGAGCATGAGAGGGGAGAGGGTCAGAGGGAGAAGCAGACTCCCTGCTGAGCAGGGAGCCCGATGCGGGACTCGATCCTGGGACTCCAGGATCATGACCTGAGCCGAAGGCAGTCGCTTAACCAACTGAGCCACCCAGGCGCCCCTGGCTATTAGTTTTAAACAGTAGGAAAATACCAAGTCTCCTTTTCCAAAGCTGGAGCAGGAAAAGGACAAGACAGACCTAGAGCAGCTTACTGCACTAGAATATCAGGAAGTACACAAAGAATGACAGGAAAATTTCAAAAGGCCATAGAAAGCCACTTGATGAGGTTCCCACTGGCCAAATCTGCAACAGATTATTTGGAGCATCAAAACAAATAATGGTTAACATAGATTATAATCCAGAGAATAAAATAAGAATGCATGAGTTCTTCTGAAAGAAAGTAAGGAAAACTCTTCCTTACAGGAGGATGCCAAAAAATAAATATAAAAGAATGATGTCGCTAGAAAATCATTACAGGTTGTTGTAGTAATAGATTAGAACAGGTAAAATGTTCTAGCAGGTAAATGTAAGCGTCAGAGTGGTCAGAAGTAAAAGTTGGATGAGAAAACAGGGTATTTACATGGTGTCAAAGTATCGCACCACTAACTACTGATTAATTTCAAAAACAAGGTAATAATAGCTTTCCAGCGGGGAAACAAGGACGGCAACCACCTTAACATCACCAACCACGGGACCAATGGACTCCATGTGCTTTCTAATACGATGGACATAATACCACTTCTATGATATTCCCATCAAAAATACATAACCTGAATCTAATCATGAGGGAAAACCAGACAAAATTAAATTAAGGGATATTCTGAAAATAACCGGCCTATACTTATCAAAACTGTCAAGATCAGGAAACAAAGGAAAAGACTAAGAAAAGGTCCAGGAGATTAAAGAAACATGACAACTAAATGCAATGCATGACCCAGCCCTCAGTATTAGACCATGGCGGCAGGGAGCGGGGGGGGGGGGGGGCCTCTAAAGGACATTATTAGGGCAATAGACGAAATTTGAATATGGGCTGTACATTAGATAATAGATTGTATCGGAGTGAAATCTCCTGATCTTCATAACTCCATAGCGCATATATGTAGGAGAACGTCCTTGTTCTAAAATACTTGAGTAGCTAGTGTTACAGGGGCAAAATGTCTCCAACTTACGGCAAAGAGTCCATAAAAAATGTTCGCTCCGGAGGGGCTGGCCCTGCACGTGGCCCCACCGCTCCTGGAGCCAAGCCCTGGCGGCAGCGGCGGGCGGGGATCTCGGGCCCCGGGCGGTCCCCGCAGGCCTAGGAAGCGGCGACGCAGCGGGGCAGGGGGGGCCGGGAGCCGGGGGCCTGGGCGGGTAGGGGGAGCCCAGGAGGCCAGCGGCGCGGGTGCGCAGCCCGGGCGTCCGGGCCTGTCCCGCGGCCTCACCCCGGCCTGCGGCGCCACCCCCGAGGCTGCCCGCCGGTCCCCGCAGCAAGCA